ACATCTGTGGCCCAAAGACGAACAGTGGGTACCAGAAGTGAAAACAAGCGTTTATTTAACAAATCGTTGACAATTCTCACAAAGTGCGACAAAACTTCATGTCTGAATGAACTTCCAGGTGAACAGCGATCTGCAGTGGAAGAGGGACACAATTTGAGTACATTAACCAACCTTCCAGAGAGGGGAAAATTATACATTTTCCGTTTTCATTTTCCACAAACAGAGAGTCAGGGGTGACTGAAAGGCTAAACCATGTAACAGAACTGTAATCGGTTTGACTTTTATGCTTACCACTACATGGTTTTGTTCCTGTGGAAGGGTTTGGGGGTGGGGGGGGGGAGGTACTAAACAAAGTTTTATACAGTGAGGCTCCTCATGACTCCCCCCAGAGGTCCAACCTCTTACGCTTTTATAATTTTATACCGTTTTTGAAAGAAATTGTACCCCACTCACATACCTTGCTCAGAACTTTGCATCCCTTTTCAAATGTAGTCTTTTGTAGTGTTCCAGTGTAGACTTTTATGAATAAATCACAAAACAGGGTCTTTCTTTTGACTTTTTCACAGCCATATTTTCGATCAGCCCCTTTAGATCCTTTCATGTACAGTGTACACACTGAAATGACCAATTTCCCTAACCTTTCATAAACTTCAACCTGTGAAATCCTCAACCTCATAAACCTTGAGCCTGAGGGAAGTACCCCTTTCAGGGGGGCCTCGCCATATGGGCAAATTTTAGGGAGTACTCCCCCCGGGTTTTGTTCCTTCGCAGTCTGTGGTTAACTTCTCATCCACACACCATGGGAGGAGAGGGTGGAATTTGGGTGTGGGAGTTTGAAGCAAATAACAATAATTACCTGCTACATCATGAAGATACCTGACCACCTTGGACACAATCTCTCCACCCGAATCAAAGTCAAGAAAAGACTTCACAAAGGGATCAAACCAAGCCACAGCAGTTTTGTAAATTTTACTTGATGAAGATGACAGTGTCCTTGTTCTCTTAAAATCTTTCCAGTCTTTGTTAGGTGTTTCACTGCCATGCTGCCACTGTGTAATGGAATCACTGTAAATCCAGTTTTCAGTTATGATCCTGAAAACATCAGTTGGCATGTAGTTAAATTTTGGCATTTGCCAGATTCTGCTGCCAAGCCGCTCAAGGAGGAGAACAAAGCATTGTAACATTGGCCAAAATGGCGATTTGTCTGTAGGAAAAAAAGAAAATTTTATACAGTATGTATAGTATATTGTAAACATCCACTTATAAGCCCTAAGCTTATTCAACTTCATAAGGGGTTTTAGGAAGGCTTATCAAAAAGCATTTCAAAACAAGCTACATAGCAGTGCTGTTCAAAATACTTTTTCAACTTAACTGCTTCAAAACATCATAAAAAATAAAAAATTCATACGAATTCAAGATAGAGGGGGACTTATAGCTGAGGGTCTTATAGCTGGACATATTTTTTGTTAAGAGATAGATGGGCCTACAACTGGCCGGGGCAGGGAGTTTGGGGTGGCCTAAGAGTGGAAGTTAATGGTAGTTACAACAAATAACATTAATAAAACATTGACTCAAACGGTGTCAATACATTTTCCAGCAGCCAATGGCTCCAAAACAGCAGGTATGGACAACTTACATACAACTCGTTTTTGATCACCTCACAGTGTGACCTTCCATTACCACATTATAGGAGAAAATCTTTTATACTTTTGAAGTATAAAAGCAATGACACTTACTTAAACCACTATTATAATCTTGATTTTTCATTTCTGTGCAAAGAAATTTGTGAATCTATCTAGATCACCAAAAACATATTCTGCACAGTCTGGGACTAGTGTAAACAGATTTGCTCATCATGTGTAGAGAGTGTATAAATTCTTAAAGTGGCAGTATTGCAATTATTTTAAAATACTACCTAATTCAATAACGGTTGCTTTGGCAGTTGGGCATTAAGCATTTGGGCGTACTCTGCAATGATTTGCATAAGTGACCACCAAACAATAGATTTGCAACATGCAATTCCCACTGCCCATGAAAGCAACCTTCATTAAATCAGCTATAACTATATGTTCAGTTTGTAATTTGTTGTTAATGTCCTAACAACCACAGAATATAATAATTATAGACACTAGATGATTAAGCCCACTGATGCTCTTACAAAAGTACATTACATGGACCGCAGTGAAGTACATGTGTGGTTCAAATTTTTATCCTTCCCACAAATTATCTTGCTGTACATTATCATACCCAAGATAATGAAGATATAATTGAACCACAGCATAATAAAGGGGTTGTAATATTATCAAAAAGAAATGATTACCTTGCTCTTCCATGGACAATAGAATTGTTGTCAAAAGCTCATCGTGCCCAGGCTGGGAAGTCATAAAACATGTCTGCACAGTTGAAACATCCATTTGCCGTATCAGCACAAACAAACTCTGCCAGTAAAATCTTTTATCAAGTTCCATAAACAGATGAGGAGGCAGAAAATCAAAAGGCAATTCTCTATCTGCATCATTTTCTTGTATTAAAGAGTAAATGTTTTCAAACAAGTTGAATTGAACAACATTCATCATCCACCCTATAACCTCTGCTAAAAAGTCATAATCATCTGGATTGAGAAGCCCTGAGTCTCTGACACTTGCAATGGCCCATCCACGTACCTGAAAAACAGCAAACGCCATATACATGACTATGTTGTGGTTCAATTGTATCATAGTTTTTTCCCCTTTGTTTAAAAACTCATTATCACACATTTCAAGTACAACAACGACAACAACAACAGGAGAAAACAAGATAAAATTTGCACAAAACAATGATAACATAAGACTTCAACGTGAGAGCTATCAGCAAGAGAAAACCATATGTGAGTGATTTCTGGCTTTCTCAGTGGTCAAGGGCTATAAGCCTATGGAATTGGAGCCACGGTGGCAAAAATTGTTTTTCTCTGTCTCTTGCGTGTTTTTTTCCAAAACAATAATCATATCACTGGAAAAAGACACTAAAACAGATGTCACAATTTTCCATGTTATACACATTTGCAGGGAAATCACTTGCCATTCCACATAAATTTTCAACATTTCAACGTCATTGCTATGGTCTGTAAGAACAAATGTTTGTAAAGATGATGGAAAATTGCAGTCTATTTTATAATTATGTGCACATATACCTCAGCATCAGGGTGAACCAAGAGGAGATATGTACCAGGTAGCTTCTCTTCTAACTTAAGAGGGCATTCACACTTGTTAAGGGTAATCAGTCCTTCAACAAACAATGTAGCAAGTTCTTTATGATGTAAAAAATATGGATAGCGCAGCATCTCCATGAGTGGCAACTGAAGCTTTGTGACAGCATCCTTATAAACAGAAAAAAGTTACATTAAGGTTAGCAAATCAGATGCAATGTGAGAAATAGAGGATATTACATGGCAGTGCAGAGATTCAAAATTTCTCTTTGAGAGTTGAATAATATTTCACAAGTGAGAGTAGCAAAAAGGAAAAAATATTTTTCAACCCGAGAAGATAAATTTTGTATCTCCAAGCAGCCATGACTTGCACTGAAAGGTGCGATTTATTATGTAGCCACAGCAACGGTGATCTTTCACAAGCAATGATAACACATTATTTTCATGAAAACATGTTATTTTCATGTGTGAAGATATCATGTTTTTGCGAGAAAGCTCAGCGGTATTTCACTGGTGTTTACTTGATATGGATGTTTATTCAGTCAGTAACAAAGAGGGCTTAGAAGAAGAAATCAGAATACACCCAGTAGGAGTCGAACCTATGACCTTCTGGCCCCAGTTGTTCAAAAGCTGGATAGCACTATCCAATGGATAATTCACTATCTACTGGATAAATATTAGGGGAGCCAATTGCTCTCCAGTGGATAGCGCTATCCACCTTTTAAACAATTGGAGCCTGGTTTCTAGTCCTTGTGGAAGGGGACATTGGGGGTACTGTACCCAACACTGCAAAAATTGACAAAATACACACTTAAATGTACTTAAAGTTGTACCCATCTCGCACGTTTGTTTATCTCAAGCATTTATGCACCAGCAATCAACCTTGGCCATTGCAAGGAAAGCTTATAAGACCTCGAATTGATCGGTACAACAATCGAAAAGGATGCCCTACCAATTTCATGATAGGTTAACTTTCAGAAATTGTGTAATCATTTACAATATACCATTAGTCGAAAGTCTTAAAAATACCAGTGGTGGATCCAAGGATCCAATTTTTTGGGAGACAGCCCCCCCCCCCCCCCCCCCCCCCCCCCTTTCTTCGACCTCTCCGGTATGCGCGTGCCACTACGTTTTGATTTAGACAAGTGGATTAAAGAATAGCTCAGAAAGCAAAAGAAAATTTTTTGTGCAATATGTTCATAAAAAAAACGTGAACAAAAGTGACACGAGGATCAAATGGGTCGTTGTTAAGTGTCTAGTCCAGATGGCACCTGCCAACAGCCCCCCCCCCCCCCGCCCCCCTTCCTTATCTCAAGGTCTGGATCTGGCACTGAATACTGACATGCATTAGACAGGAGAGAGCAATGAACAGTACCGCAATACCATAAAGGATTTCTTGTACCAAATGTCGCTAGCCAAAAGGATGGGAAACTGCACACTGCAGGGCTAAATGGTACTGCAATACGGTAAGCCCTCATGTCCCCCTCCAGATGCTCTACCACTAAGCTAAGAGACTCTTAGGAGCTAAGGCCACTAAACACACTAGGTTCACTTGACAATACAGGGCGCTTTCCATTTAGTCAAAATGTCCGGAATTTCTGGTTTGGCTGTAAATGGAACACCTTTTGTCAGTTCGTCCCACTGGAAAATTCCCAGAAAAAGTGGAAAATCTAAAAAGGTGGGCCCGTTTTCCCGGTTGGAATTTCCGAATGGAATATCGTGTTCCATTTACGTTTCTCGTAGTTTCTACCAGTTCCAGGTCCACGGTCGGGCACCGTGACGTACCGGGGTTTACGACCAAATGGAACAACTTTTTACCAATCGCAAATTCCACTTTCGCTCCCACCAAAATTTCCTGGTTTTTTTCCTAAATGGAAAGCGCCCACAACGCTATAAATATTTGTAGATCTACGAGGTAACTAGGAAAAGAGGATTATAATTTCATAAGAGAAAAACAAACCTGCCCAGAGCGATCAAAAACTTTTCTCTCCACTGGCAAATCAACAGCCTGGTTTACTGTGTCTTTCAATCTTTGGGTATCCAACAACTGCAATTTCTAATGATACAATCCTGGATGTTTAGTGGTACAAAATAATAATGTACATGTATGTACATGAAGATTCAGGTGCAGAGAAAAGAAAGGGTGAAGAAGCTAACAATGTTGTTCCATGATTGCAAGGTGAGCCAATAAATATATTTCACACGTTGCATACTTCATAATCCGATGTACATAATTTGTAATTTGTAATTTGACACCCTTGTTGTCCTGTTCAGACAAGGGACTAATCAAAATATTATGTTAAGGGATAGTGTGTGAAAATAAGCAACAGTTGCTAAAATCTGCATAGGAAGAAAAATGATATACAGTGTACTTTTACATTATGTAACGATGTCTGGCATCATTTTGGCTGCAAAAAATGGTCAACAGCACAGAAGAGATGAACACAATAAGCTCTGATATGATTGCAATGCATGATTGTCATTTTCCATTAATTCTTCAAAATATATTTAATTATCTGCAACAGAGAATACTTATATGGCTCCATGATTGTAAGGCAATAACTTATTCTTTTCATGACAGACCAGCGGTCTATCATTGACTTTACTTAAAGGTTCACATGTACCTTTTTAAATTCTGGCCTCTCTCTTATTAATTCATCTTCAAGCCTGTGATACACTTCAACGCAGTCATAACAGTGGCGCAGATCCTCCAAAAGTCCATGGTCCCATTCATATAATGGTTTGTTCGCATAACCTGGAAGCTCTTGTTTCATGTCAATTGGTGCAGAGCACCACTCACATGCCCTTGATGTCTCTAGCTCCAGAAAAGTGCTTGCCATCTCCCTAACGAATACAACAATGTTATGATATTTTACAAGCATTGTTACATTTGATTAAAGTCAATATAGACTTTATGTTAATTTTTTTGTTTGGTTTAACTAAATTATTGTACTTTCATAGACAAGGTGCCTACAAGTCATGTTGCATCAAGCTCAAAATTAAATTATTGTTATTTTTTCACCTTTGTTGATTCTGTTTTCTGGACCTAATTCGTAAATTGTTAGGGTTGAAAATTGAGAGTCAACTTGGATTTTTATTTTTACCTAAAACACATACATGTACCACATAAAACAAAACAAAACCAAAATCACACTGCTAGTCCCACACATGTACATGTATATGTAGTTATCTGAAAACGTTGTCCAGCTGATGGTTTTCTACATGTATGTGTAATTAGCCACTGAAAATCCATGTACAATCCATGTGGAATGATATATATGTTACAGGTCAAATTTGATTTCAGGTTAAAATTTTTTTAACCTAGGGTGCGTTCGATTGGGAAATCCGGATTTAGATTTAAAAATCCGGATTTTGCATTTGCAATTGTTACTCTTTGGATTTTCATTTTTACCGTTCGATTGGGAAATCTGCAAAAGGATTAGAAAAATTGTTCTTAAGAAAAAATTGTTCTTGCATGCGCGCGCATAATTAGCAAAAAGAAGACCGCTGTTCATGAGAACAGTTTTGCAAATCCTTTTTTCGGATTTCCCAGTCGAACGGTAAAAAGGAAATCCATGAAATCCGGATTTGGATTTCTATTGAAATCCACCCTGAGGACGGATTTCTCGGAGGTGAAATCCGTTTTCGGATTTCGCATTCGATTGCAAAATCCGAAATCTGGATTTCAAAATCTAAATCTGGATTTCCCAATCGAAAGGAACCCTAGGTTGATTCTCAATTTCCTTTGTCTCCTGGTCCTGCTTATTCATGAATTAGGGTGAGGAAACAAAGGAAATTGAGAATCAACCTAGGTTAAATCAAAATTAACCTGAAATAAATTTGACCTGTAACATATACATTTTTTCCTTGGCAATAGAAGCAATAACAGTCGTTGTGCACTATCAAATGTCAAACATATTTCACGCAAAATGGTGGCGAAACATTTAACTTGTTTCACGAGGAATAAATAGGCGAACTATTGGCTGAAAACATAGCAAGAACAGCAAAGAAAGAACTCGATGGATGACATCTGATATTTAAGGAATATTTGCAGAACTGAAAAACCCTTTATCTTCTACACTTGCCGATAAACATACACTACACTGTATAAACATGCACAATCAAAGATGAACTTAACATCAATGAAGGTAAGCATTGTTTAGCTTGTTCTTAAACTAGTAATTATTTTGAATGAATAATAAAACAATAATATTATTATTAAGAAGATAATGGGTTTTTCAGTTCTGCATATATTCTCCAAATAGCAGATGTCGTCCGTCGAGTTGTTTATTTGCTGTTCTTGCTATGTTTCTAGCCAATAGTTCGCCTATTTATTCCTCGTGAAACAAGTGAAATGTTTCGCCAATAAAGATTGTCATTTATTAATTCTTCAGATAATATAATAATAAAACAATTATTGTTTTATTATTATATCATCTGAAGAATTAATAATTATGACAATCTTTATTGAGGATGCCTACTTCACCCTAAAGTGCTTTACAGAAGGGTCCTCCTACTAAAAAAAAAATATTAGTGAATAAGACAAAACTACAACTTAATAAGAACTTACTAAGAACCAATAACTATTATTATTAGTCATTCAAAATATCTCCCCGATTCTGATTGGCTAAAAGCACACGCATAATTCACCATAACCAGTTTCTAACGAGCAAATAACGTCAAAAATGCAGCGTTCATGCAGGTTAAGGCGCCGTTAACCGAGAAGACCTCGGGACGAGGTTGAGTTGTTTGGTTGTGAACTTGAAAAATGGCCGACACTTCACCGATTCAAGAGTAAGAACTAGGCGAAACAATAACTAAAAACATGGCAAGAACAGCAAGAAGACAACTCGAAGGGTGACACCTGCTATTTGGAGAATATTTGTGGAGCTGGACAAACCTAAACGTGCACTATCGAACATGAACTTACAGTCGATGGAGGTACGTCTGTAAGCATGTTTTAGCCATGTTTTTAAGGTGTCTCGACCCAGTTTTTTTGGGGGGGTACCATCCTACTTTGAAGCTCTCTGGTATCCCCACCTTTACTTTTATCGTAAGTCTAACACATAGAATGGATAATATATAGATCAATCTACAATATAACATAAAAATTTTGGCGATCGGAGTAAATGTCACGTGGTTATAATGCCACGCCC